GTATGAATCTGAACCACACACCCTTATGTGCGCAGGCCCAAGACTACACATTCTCAGAGAAGATTATTTTTCCACTCTAAAACTCTGGTTCCTTGTATCAGTTTTGCTTCAAAGTCGATACACTTGTTGGAAATTAAGTTCACCTTTATGTGATTTCTGTTTACTCTTCATTTTTTCCTAGTACCTAAGGATTTTCTCTAATTATTTATGAGCTTATTAATGCATTGTAGAGTATATTTTTTGAAATATGTCCAGCATATGGGTGTTTTGTAGTAATAGAGTTTTACAGAATATTTTTGAATTATTACTCTGACTTTCTTTTTAATGCTAGTTTTGTTTCGTTTCCTGATATTTTGGAGTATGTCTTCAAGAATTTTTTTTAGTAGTATATGGATTTTTTTTTTCCTATTCTGAGAGTAGTTTTCAAATGCTCTGATACGTAAAATGTAACTTGGTGCAAGACTGAATTGTTGGATCATCACATTTTCATCTGGAAAATCGGGTATTTCTCCCAGTCCCATGTGACATTTAATGTTATAAAGGAGAAGTCTGAGGCCAGCCTAATTTTTTGTTTGTTTGATTATAGTTAGTTTTTGTTGTTTCTGCCTGATGGCTTACAAGGGTTAAACATTATTATTCTTATAATTCAAAGATATTATGAGGATGTGCATTGGCCATCATGATCCTAAACTCTGTTTTAGGAAACACATTTTTCTGAGAAGTCTTATTAGGGCATCATGAAAAAAAAAGTTTCTCTTATTTAATTCTCTGAGAAATCCTTCTTTCAGCTCACAAAGTGTGTGCTTTGGGAGTATAATAACAATTTTCCCAGTTTGCTTGTTGTGAAGTGCCTGGACCAGGAGAAGCACTAGGAAAAAGAAGAATTTCAAATTTTTTCCCGCTTAGTATCAATTCATGAGGTGTAGCTTTGCCATTCTTTGATGTGGTCTTAGTGTCTGCTTTAATCTTAGTTAGGTTTTAGTATTTATATTTTCTATGTTCACATGTGTGTTTTAATCATACTTTATGAGAGGCTGCGTTAGGAGCTGCTGGCCAGAAAGCATTTTAAAGCACAGTCCGTTTTTGTTTTAATTACATGCAATTTGTTATTAAGATGAAATTTAAATTTTCACTTCTTTAAGACTGCTATATGCGTATATACTGCATAATAGCTTTAAATATTTTAAACTCATGTGCCCTTGTCACAATTTGCCCCTGCAGTCTTCATCACTGACCTATTCAAAATTCTTCATTTTGTCATTTTAATCGAAAAATATGATGTTCCATCAATAATTAGATTCCTGATTGAATAAAAACATTTTTATATTGTAAAAATTGTGTGAATGTAGTCAGAACAAGATTAAAGTATAATTGTAAAGTTTTGGCTTCTTTTGGTGTTATGTTCACATTTTTGATGGAATAATTGATAGAGACACGTCTCTTTCTAACATGTGGCTGAACAGCATCATAAAGTGAAATTTAAAATGATAGCCAGAAATGACTTTTTAAAATTTGATTCCCTCTTAAAAGTAGATAGTAATAAAGCATCAACTTGATTATGTATTAGGAAATGAATCAAAGGCCAAATTTCTCCTTAAACAATAAACTTTAATTTCAAGAACTACCAACAAAGTATTTTAATGAATGAAGCAATATGAATATAAACTAGATTATATAAACATTTAAATAAAAATTAGCAATTAAAAACTCTAGCACTATGTAGCTTAAGTGTAGTACTCTGAAATATCACACCCTTAGCATTGTCAAATATTAGATTTATCTTTAATTTGCTGTTCTAAATAATACAGCACACTCTCTTGTAAAGATCTAATTGTAGATGTCAGGCTTTGATTGCCTAATATGATGTATTCAAGAAAAGCAACCAGGAAATGAATTGGGTTATTTCCTTCTACTTCTTTGTAGTCTATTTGGTTTCCTGTAATTGGGACCAAATTTTCCATCTGCCTTGGTCCTCTGTTAATGATTTCAGAACCTAGAGCTAAAACCATCACCCCTGTCCCCTGCCCCCCACACCTCCCTTTGAGTTTCTGTTACTATAACCCTTGATTAAATGTCAGGTTTTTGTTTTCATTGTTTTACCTTTTCTTTCCTATTTACATTTTTGACAGCTTTCTCTCTTAACTGAATACTGTTATCACTTCTTTATTTTAATCCTCTCCCAAGCTGCCTATATTATCACCCCTGTGTTTCAGAACTCTGATTCCTACCCTTTAATCTACTAATTGGCTTTTTACCCCAGCTCGCCTTGCGTCCTCTGTGTGCATCTGACCCTCCTTTCTACTGCACAACCTGCCCACCAGGCACGCGGTCCTATCAGATCTCCTTACCTTGTGTCCTCTTTCTTCACCCAGAGGACTTTATTAATATTTTTACCCTCCACTCTCCCAAAAGTTTCAGTGAATATGACATCCATTATAATATTTTTCTAGAATAAATAACACATTTTCCCATTTTCAAATTTTTTAAAAAATTTTGTGAAATCAGTATCTTTTGATTAAGTATATGCATTGGTTTCAACCTAGCTGGAAAAAAATGTGTGTGATTAACAAGCATTTATTTCATCCTATCCATTTCCACTTATACTTTCTCTTTGGTGAAGAAAGGATACATGCTTATTGTTCTTTCAATGAGTGCTTTTCTCTTTAAGTATGAATGTAGTCAAAATATTGTTGTAGGGCATTAAAATTCATACTTTACTTTTTAGTGAGTTTAAACATGTGGCAAAGTCAAAATGTATGAAAATGGACCAAGACAATATTCCTTATAAAGTTTACACAGATACAGTGAGTAGTAAATTAGTCTAGTTTTTCTATTTGTAATATTTTCTTAATATATTCTATGTAATGGGAGTGAATGAATATAGGAGAAATTATAGCAGACTATGTTAGTATATACACAAGCTATTAAATTCAACCACAACTAAAAATCTCAAATTAATCAAAAAGTTTGAAATCTGTTTTGCTATCCCTGGAACCTTTAGAAGTATGTTTTCTTTTTCTTCACCATGACATTGCTTTTTGTTAGATGTACAGACTGAAATAGTCCTAGATTTCTATTATAAATTTACAATTCACACAGGTTAATTTTGTTAATTGTCAGTAATTTTCAAAGATTTGACTTGGTAGAAACCATGTCACCAAGCAGTTCACCAGGTACAATCATGATAGCGATTCAGGACAAACAAGGATTTCCAAGGATTACGAACTGTGTCCATATAATAGTAAAATTCTGGCCAAGGGGAAAAAAAGCATGGAGTACACAATCTAAGGTGAAGGAGAAAGCATCAGGCTGAAGACTAATTATCACACAACAGGCCAGGGAGTCTGTTTATAAATCAGCATACTGGAAGATACAACAAGACCCCATCAAGTGCGTGTCATGTGTTTCTGTTCTATGAATTAGGTTGTTTTTAGGGTGACTACATCAAGCCTACCTGAAGAAGTCAAATTAACACTGATTTATAGAAAAGAGCCAATAAAGAATTTTCCATGCAACACTAAGCCTTATGTTGGAATCACCTAACTGGAAATATAATTTACCAGGAGATTTAAGGAAAAATAAATATAAGGAAATAGTCCAGACTCTGCAGAAAGTCACTTTTACAAACAGAGCTCTCTACTAGTGATACTTAAAAGTTCAAGTCTGACAAAAACTGCAGATCAGTAACTACTGCACAAATAAATTATATGTAATTTTTCTATAATTTCATCAATATAAATCCCCTAAAGTAAGATATTTTTAAATTAGACTCTAAACTTTCCCTTGTGAGCTTGTTCTTCAAATATATTTATGAGGACTTTCACTTAATGTTTGGAATATTTTTCTCCTCTGTTTTATCTATACAGTTGGATTGGAAACTCTGCAAGGGCAGGGAAAGCTTCCTCAGCCACAAAAGGATCTGATTAGAGTTCAATAGCCTGCAGTCTCTTGTGTTAAGTCTTGTCATACATAGAAATAGAGTTTTAATGGTCTATCAATAAATTAGTATGAGTGGGCCTGGAAATTCCTGCTGGGTCTCTGGGTCTCTGAGTGTTCTCCAATATGTCCAATTACTGCTATCCAATATGATAGTCACATGTGATTATTGAGCCCTGAAATGTGTTTTGTTCAAAGTGAGACATACTATAAATAAATGTATACACTGAATTTTGAAGATATGGTATAAAAAGAATTAAAAATCTCATGGATCACTTTTTTTATGAATCACTTTTTGTATTAATTACATCTTGAAATAATATTTGAGATATAGTGGATTAAATAAAATACATAATTAAGGGGTCGGCTCCGTGGCTGAGTGGTTAAGATCACGCACTCCGCTGCGGCGGCCCAGGGTTCAGATCCTGGGCGCGGACATGGCACAGCTGGTCAGGCCACATTGAGGTGGCGTCATACATCCCACAGCTAGAAGGACCTGCAACTAAGATGTACAGCTGTGTGTGTGTGTGTGGGGGGGGGGGGGGGTTTGGGGAGATGGGGGGGTTGGGGAGATAAAGCAGAAAAATAAAATAAAATACATAGTTAAAATTAATATCACCTTTTATTTCTTATTTATTTTTAAGTAGCTACTAGAGAATTTAAAATTGTATATCTGGCTCACATTATATGTCTATTGAAAAGTATAGTGCCAAATGGTTCCAGATTTTTAAAAAATCACTTAAGTTCACATAGTTATCTCACATAGGTCAAATATTAATTTAACCTTTATTGTGTCATCTTCATCTATAATGTGGCACATGCCCTGATTCATGTGTCTATAAATATTCTTTCTAAGGAATATTTCCTTAGATTCTAAAAAAGAACACAGAAAGAGATCTAAATGAAAGCTATTTAGCATTATTGTTACCAAAGTATTGAAATTCCAAAAGTTCATTTTAGTCATTCCTTTTAATCCTTTCCCACGTCAATTCTTTCTAGAATTTTGAACAGTTAGAGAAATAAACATTATTATAGTTTTCTTCTCTTTTTCTTACCTTCTGAAGGTGAGTGATAAATGCAATGGTCAAAACGATTTCACTAAAGGGAAGACAGGAGATCGTGCAGAGGGTCATACATTGGATGTGCAACAGTGGATCATGAGGCCAAGGTGCTTGGGTAATGTAAGTAAACTTCTTAAAAATGGTCATTGGAAATAGAAGTAACTTCTCAAAGTCACACAAGAGGAATCAAAGTTCTGTTGCCTCTCTTCTCAGAAACGTTTATCCGCCCACCTTTCTTATTGAAAAGATACCTTTGGGGCTCATATTTTTGTTATGAACTATGTTCCTTTGCATTACTTTCTAGATATAGTTTATACTTTCCCTTTGATTTCTTCTTAGAACCCAGGATTAGTGAGAAATGGGCTTTTAATTTCTAGGTCTGTAAGATATTTTTGGTCTCCAGCATATAACTAGATTTTCCTTTTAAACTTGATCAGATGGTTTTGTTTAATGAGAAAATTTAACCTGGCATTTAGTGAAATGATTGATATACTTTATACTTATTACTCATTTTGCATCTTCCGTCTCCTTATGCTTTTTTCTATGGATGATGCCTTTTTCAGTTAGATATTTATTCTGCTTTGATCCCTTGTTGAATCCTAAGAATTACAATAATTTACTATTCTTGCTATCACAATAAAAACTACATTTCTCTCCACTGCTATCTGAAAAATAAAATATCAAATATTTCCGCCCACCAAAATGCATTATTTCCTTCTTTGGTGAATGTTTTAAACAATTGTTCTATTATGGTTCTATTATCTATAAAAAATGGTTCTATTATCTATACAGAAAGAGTGGGGTCTCTATCATCCTCTCCTAAATTAAATTCTTTTTTCTAGCACTGAGAAAGGTTGTACAAATTTGTGTTTGGTCAAAAGAGGGTTAAGAAACAGTAGCTGCTCTAATATATCCACAACTCTTTTGGTCTTTTTAATCTTAGAGTTTCTTTTACAAACAGGTACTTTTCTTCTATGTGATATGCAAATCTCCCGGCTCCTAAGAGCAACTGGATAGGGATATGTGTTTCATCTTAAAACAAAGACCAAGAAAAAAATAATAATATGATAAAGTTATTCAAAGGATTTCAGAAACAGGTGTTCTAAGTCTACACTAATTGGATTTCAGTTAATTATTCCTTTTACTTTAGGGAATATGAGTAAGAAATACTTAAAAAGTACCTGAAAAACTTCTCTGACATGCTAATTGCTCTATTATTTAATCTAGGCAAAAAGAAAAAAAAAGCCACCTTAATGTGACCCAGGTCTTAATTACCTTTTTCATTTCAAGATTTTAAGATAAAATTTATAGGTCTTTCCGTGTACTACACATCTCAGGATGTTATAGCAGTCTCTAGTTTTTCATCTATATGTAATTTTAATTTTCTTTTGCCAATGTACAGAAAATATTATTATAATTAAAGATTAGATTTCCCACTAACCTTAGGGACACCAAAGTAAATCTCTCGTGGGCTTTAGGTCAAGAAGTCTGCTGCTTTTTGATTTTAGACAAATTGTTCATTCTTCCCTAATCTCATTTTCCTTCTTTGCAAAGGAAAGAGTAATTGTTATACATTACTGTGGCCATTAGCATTCCTCAAATGTAGGAGTTGAACAAGGGTACTAAAAGAATGGGAGTCTTGTTTTTGAAATAGGAAATGAGTTCAGAATGTAAACTCCATGAGGGTTTGGATGTTTTTGTTGTTGTTATTTACTTCTCTTTTCCCAGAGCATAGAATTATGCCTATGTTAATGCCTATAGTTAACATACAATAAATATTTCTGGATGAATAAATGAATGGATGCGACATACTGAAAGAAGTCAGCAATGAATGACTAGAATCAAGATGCCAGATTATCTGAAAGTATATATTTAGTATAGTAGATATGGATAGAAGGGGAATGAACAAACCTACTATGTATATTGAGGTCTAGCTTGTCTTTTATATATAAAGCAAAATTAGAATTATGGCCTCATGGTAAAGAAATTCTCCATTAATTCGATTGGTTAAGGTAGAGAATTCAATGGTTAAGTGCGGTAACAACTCTCAATAGGTATTTAAGAATGATGCATTAGTTTTGCTTTTTTAAGAATAAGTATGTTCATGGAACATACTAAGTGCTTAATAAACATTTGTTGAATAAATGAATGGATATTTGTCATACACTTTATCATATTTCCCAATAAAAGTGAGACCCATATGTTAGGCACCTTTTTCATCTGGACAATGCAGTGCCTGTTCCACGGTCAGTTCTCACACATCTGGTGCAGGTACATTTTTACCTTTGCATTTACTGTTATAATTTAACTATCTCTGCATTGATTTAAATCACCAGTTTGATTCTGAGCTTAGTTCTGATTGTGACACTCTTTTTCCAAAAGTCTGAACTTTGAGGGCTGTCACTCTAGCCAGTTGGAATAAATTATCAGGGGCAAGATAAGCCTAGCAACCCAAGCATATTACATTCTTAGGAAATGTATGAAGAATGTTTTATACTGTCTTGATTTTCTCCTTCGTACCTTCAATAAAATAATTTTTTAAATTAATATTTGCATATGGTAAAAATAATTCGAATGGTTCAGAAGAATCTAAAATAAATAATAAAAGTCAACTTCTCTAGGCCTCCCACTTTCAGAGGCAATCATTCTTAGTTCCATTTTTAATTTATTTCGGTGGCTGCCATTATATTTTTAAATATTCATCAGTTTCTTGATTTATTATATTTTGTTAGTATTTTTGAATCCTTACTAGAAATGAAGAATTTAGCACATTATTTCCCTCCTCCCTTCCTGCTTTTAATAACTCAATTTTTATAGTTTTAGTTTTATAATATAACTATATTATCACTTACCAAAGTTTCATCTTTAACTATAATTAAATCTTCCAAACTTGAGTATAGGTTGAATCTAAATATGATCCTAAATATAAATGACATTATAGTTTTATGCTCATATAATCATTATTCAATGTTAAATGAAATATTGTGCCTGGACCTGTAGAGAAGAAAATGTCTAAATAGGAGCAAGAGTGTTAGACTTTTAAGTTATTTTAAGTTTTCTTCACTACTTCTTGGTTATAGTTAACTGCAACTTTTTCATGTACCTCTTGTCACCAACCTTTCTAGTCTTCTTATTGTTTTTCTGGAGAACATACTTGAGTAACGTTTCATTAGAGGTTGCATAGGAGGTATATTTTCTTGTTTATGCTCACCCAAAAATATTTTATTTTGTTCTGACAGTTGATGGATAGACTGGTGTGGGCACAGAATTATAGAATAAAAATAATTTTCTATCAGGATTCTGAAGGCATTAATCTATTGTCTTCTAATGCAAATTCTGGTTGTAAAAAATTGATATCATTTTGAATCTCACTGCTTATTAAGTAAACTTTTTTTCCTTTCTAAAAGATTTTAGGTATCTTTTCTTAATTTTTGGAATATTGAAATTTAACAAGAATTTACCTAAGTGTGTACTTCTCCCCCCTCCACTGCTTGACACATATTGAGTGGTTTAATTCTGGAAACTTGTTTCTTTCTTAGTGTAGCAAACTTCTCTTTACTTTTTATTTCTTTTGCTTTTCCTGCCGTCCATTGTCTCTGTCCTCTATTCAGGGATTTTTTGTTTTCTTCTGCTAGATACCACTTTTTTGTTTTTTGCCTTCTGTTATAGAAGGTTTCCTTCTTTTGTCTTTCATACTTACTGCTTGTTTGCTGGTGTAGTTGATGGCATTATTTGGTCCATTCACCGAATTCTTTTTTTGATAATTCTATTTGTTAATTTTCTGAAACCTTTTTTCTATAATTGGTTCATTGTCTTAATAGTCTATTTTTGTCAAAGAATGGAAATATCCCCTTAACTCACTCTCATAATGTGAATTATACTTGAAATAAATTGCTTCTGTTTCTGGAATTTTTTTCAATGTGAGTGATACTGCATATTTATCTTGATCTTTCACTTTCATACTATTAGAGTTTCTCTGGAATCAGATTACAAGTCACATTCTGTCTTTCCTAGTGAATGGCTGAGTAACCAAGGTGAAGTTACATAACAAATCTAAACTTCAATTTATTTATTTAAAAAAAAGGGGGAGCATAACAAGAGTGATGCGAGTGATGTGATCATTTAGCGTAGAATATTGTCAATGACATAATACCTTATTCTACAAATTATAGTTTATTGATGAGGCTGGTATATTTCCACTATGAACTTGAAGCTTTAGTGTATCATATTCCTATTAAATATTCAGAGGTCAGCAAAATTTTTCTGTAAATGAAAAGATAGTAAATATTTTCAGTTTTGTGAGCCACATGGTCTATGTGGAAACTACTCATCTTTGCTGTTATAGCACAAAAACATAGACAATGCATAAACAGATGAATATGGCTCTTTTCCAGTAAAACTTTATTTACCAAGGACAGATGATGGGCCAGATTTGGCTGGCAGATCATTGTTTGCTGACCCTTAAACTGTATCATGTAATACACAGCAAGTTCTGTGAAATTACCATTAGGCTTGGAGTTGAGGGCATAGGTTTGATATTCCTTTACACATGTGATCTGGAGTAAGTAATTTAACCGCTTCAGGCTTCTTTTTTCCCAATGCATAACATAAAGGAAATAGAATAAATTATTATTTAAGTTTATTATAGCTCTAGAATTCTATTCTAAAAATTAATAGAAGCATTTCAATGTGGAAATCATCATATTCAACATAAAATGATGACATATAATGAATTGTAGTTGATGTTATTTTTGAAAGTGGAGACTAGGTCTAATGTTTGGTTTCAGCATATCTATTTAAAATAACATTGCATTTGTTGTTGTTGTTTCAGAAATAATGTACTGCTACATATGAAACTATGCAATAAATAATGAAACATGTTTTAATGGGTCTTCTATTGTTTGAAAATGAATTAGGAACACTTTGCTTCAGGTTTATTTAATTAACTGAAATAAGGTTTAAAACAAGATCCTACTGGAGACTGTAAAATATTTATCACTAAATATAAAAGAAAAATAAATTTCAAAGGAAGAAACAGTCCCAGTTAAAATGGTAATTACAAATGTCTTATTTGGTCCATAAATGCAGCTTATTTTTGAATGATTATTTAAATCTGAATT